TAGGACCTTAAAATCGTCTGGGGAGGCCCTGCTCTCGTTACCACCTTTGTCACAAGTACGTTTGGCAGGGACAAGAGACAGGGCCTTCTCGGTGGTGGCCCCTCAGCTGTGAAACGCCCTTCCCAGGGATATTAGATTGGCCCCTTTCCCTTTAACATTCAGAAAAAAAGTCAAAACTTGGCTTTTTGAGCAAGCGTTCACAGACACAATATAACAGACATAGAGAAAAAACAGAACGGCTGGATGACGCTATTGGATAATGTTGTTAACAAGGAGACTCAAACTGATACATGTCTTTATTGATATTGTTGTTTTATCGGCTGTGGAATGCCCTTCCTACGGACATTAGACTAGCACCATCTCTAATGGTATTCCGCAAAAAAGTGAAGACCTGGCTGTTTGAGCAGGCGTTCGAATAATTAGTGCAATGATTGGTTAATGAACACTGGAATGGAACAATGGATGACGAATCTGGAACATGTTTTTGATGACGAGACGACAGTGAATGGGTATTGTAGTAACTGTTTATTAATTGTGTAATGTGTTAGGTTGTTAACTGTTTCTATACTGTAGCACTGAATTTTTGCTGTTCGTATTTGTTGTGAACCGCTGTGAGTCGCCTTCGGGCTGAGAACAGCGGTATATAAGTAAGGTAAATAAATAAATAAATAATCCGGTTTTATATTTAATTAACTGTTTTTATTGTATTTTATGTTTTTGATGCTGACTGTACACCACCCCGAGTCACCTGTGGGCTGGAAGGGGCGGTATATAAATATAGTCAATAACTAAATAAATAAATAAATAATTTCAAAACAGAGCAATTTCAAATGTGAAAGGCTATGAGCAACTATTGGCTGAAAGCTCAAAACAGAAGAAGTTCAATAATCAGGGTGCTGCTACAAAGAAAGTCCTGTTACACATGCAAACTAGCCTAACTTTGTTACTTTTATAATTCATTTGAGGTTGTCTCATAATTTATTTTGGCCTTGGCTGATATGAACACCTGAGAAAAGCACCCATGTCCTTGTCTCTGTGATGTGGGTTCAAAAGTAGAAGAGACCTCTACCAACGTTGGCCATGACTTTTGTTCTGTCACGCGCTGGGCCTGTAATAGCTGTACTTTTCTATAGGACGTATACTTTAAGCCCAGCGGGAAGCCAGGGGCCTCAAAGAGAGGTTCTCAG